GTTACACAATCATGGCGCCCCCATCGTCCTGCTTCCGATCTGCGAGTTCATCCTCTCACAGCCAGGGGCACTAGCAGAACTGGAGGACCAACCGCATCTTCTAGCACTCCTGATTGAGGGCCATCGAGACACTCATTTTGGCACGGCGAGGCAAGAGAACCAAGATGTTGCAAGGTCCCGTCGGGGATCGAGACCAGGCAGCTCGTTGGCCGATGCGATTTTCAATATCTCTTTTGTCAATCCACTGAAGGCCATCGAAAATGAACTGCGCCAGCATGGTCTATCTCTCGATCTCCATGTCCCTGCTGGCAGTGCGACATTTTCATCGGGATTGGCAGTGCCCACGCTTTTGGACGTTTCCTGTGTGGACGACGGACTATATTTACTCACACAACGTTCTACGGACGAGGCTGTCAACGCAGCGGGCCTGGCGGTCGACTGCGTCCACAAGCACATGGCCACCCACGGCTCCACGGTAAACTACCAGCGGCACAAGAGCAGTGCTATGATCATTCCAGCTGGTTCTGGCGCTCGAAATATTACCCTTCGCTTGCAAAGCTTTCCTCATGCCAAGATCGTGACACCAGAATGGCAGGTTGAAGCTCATCTTGTGAGGGACTACAAGTGCCTTGGGACCATGGTGGACGAGGAAGCGTCGCTTGGGCCACGCATAGCGCTGGCCACCAGCAAACAGAAGTCAGCCCTTGATCCGATTCGAAGGATGACGGCACGCTTGCATCGGTTGTCTCCAGCGGCCAAAGTAAATATATGCGATGTCCTTGCGAACGCTCATCTTCTATATCTAACTGAAGTATGGCACGGTATGCGGCAAGCACAAAGGAAGGCCCTGGAGGCTCCTAGGCTCCGCTCGTACCGTACGGCGATCGGGAAGCAGCACCGCATCGAGGCGAGCGACTACACACTGGATGCCGAGATACTGTGGATGGTAAAGCGCGTCGGAATTGAGCACGTCATCAGAAGGAGGCGGCTCATTTATTTTGGAACATTGTTCACCATGGCACCGCCAGCGCTTTTCTTTTTGGTCGATATGATGGCATTGCAATATGATTCTTGGACATCTTTACTACTCGACGACTTTCGTTGGCTGAGCAACTTCAATATCAAAGGTAGGACTGAAGACTGGACTCTACGGCAATGTTTCGAGTTCACGTGCGATTCTCCCCACGAGTTCAAGCTACTTGTCAACCGTGTATGGAAACACTGGCTGCCACTGGAGCTCGACCGATTGTCACATCAGGGATGGCCACGGCGTACTGGGCAAGCTCAACCTGAACATCCTCTTGAAGGCCCTCAGCTGAAGTATCTGTGCTACACATGTGGCGGGACAGTGATGACTGTTGCAGCATGGCGCCGACACCAGCTTGAACATAACCCCATCGACCTGGCGCAGAAGGCGGCATGGGGCAACCAATGCGGAGCATGTGGCAAGATTTTTGGCAATCGGTCATTGGTTATTAAGCATCTGCGTAAAGTTGGGAACCGTTGTCTGTTATGGCTTGAACAACATGCACCTCTACTTGACGAAGCAGAGGCACACCTTCGACGGCAGGAAGATCTACTTATTGAACGAGATCAGGCACATAGATGATATCACAGGCTCAAAGTATTTCAGAAGGTGAGATTTGAATCCATTGACGAAGCTGAAGTGCAACATTGGGGACGGAGAAGTGATCCATATTACCCTGCACCACCGCCAACGATTCACGTGACCATGGGCGACGTTCCTATACGCTTGACAAGAACATCACTTGGTACAGTTGATGAAGTTCATATGTTGTACTACAATGATGATATGAGCGAGTGTTGCAACTGGGTCCGCCTTCTCTCCAGCCACCAGGCAGCGGTCTATGTCCAGCACGAGTCTGCAGTAAACGATGATGGTGTGTCCGATGGTTGATTGGATCGACGGAGGCCGACAAGCTGATGAAGAGCATGTCTGACGGCAGAGTTGCAGGTATTATCGCGGCACCGAAGCTATCTACGTGGAGGCGTACAGTGGTACCCTCCAGTCTCACTGAAGTTGAACGGGCTGTTCTACGAGACAGGCCACATGTGCTGGGTGCCAACTTGAGTCGAGCTGGGGACAGAGCAGTGTTGCGATCAGTGACGTCACCGTGGGGTGAACCGCGACTGCCCCCACGACTGCGTGAACAAGTGATTTCTGGCAACTCTGAGTTACGATGCTTGCTGTACCTTCTTTTTGGAGCTCACGCTATGGGAGTTCCTATGGCAGTTGTTGCGCCTACAGCTCGGCTGGCGGTGGCTCTTGCAATGGTACCAGAACTTCGAGTTGCAGTCCAACAGCGACGGGTACTTCTGCGACGGGTCCCACAGCCGGCAGTAGGCACTTCTGAGGGCATGTCAATCTTGAGCGTCCACTGCGTTTTCAATTTCGAAAGGGATCTGTCTGGGGCCCCAGCGAACCCCTCCAGGTCCCAAGGGTCGTGGTCCCTTCAGCTGTCTCTCGCCCTGGCCGAGGCCGTGATGGCCACGTCTATGGCACTTGGGAGATGGTGCTCGTAGCCTAACCTCCGATCCAAGGAGGAGTCACAGGAGCTGCACTAGCGCACAGAGGTTCGGCCAGGGACCAAGTTGATGGACTTCATGCTGTTTTGATATTCTTTGCTTTTTGATCGTCTCGAGCTTTTCTTGGTCCCTGGTCCCGAGGCCGATGTCTTGCGTTGTGGCGCTCGTGGCGCTTGTGCATGCTCTCTATGTTGTGCTGGTCTCATCCTATCGTTCTCTCCGTGCCTCATCACCGTGCTTCCTTCTCTACCATCCATTTGTGCCTCCACCCTGTGCCTTGATGTCATCCTTGCGCTGTTTTCTCGAGCCACGTGTCAGTAGTGCCGTATTTAAGCGTTTACCAACTGTTGCCTGGCTCGCCTGTCCTGTCCTGCAGTCGCTCCCCCTCACTCCCGTCCGCCATTGCTGGGATGGCTATTTCCTGGAGGAGGTGTCTTACCTGGAGGCGGTGGGGGAGGTTTCTCGCGCTCCGCTTGCTCCCCTGCAACACTGTGCGCTCGCTGCTGCTGGACCTCCAGCAGTGCGAGCGTTTGCGCGTCGGCCCGCCGACGAGCGATTGACGCTACGAGCGTGTGCGCTCGGCAGCCTGCGCAAGAAAGAAGGGGGGGTCCCAAGGGGGGGGGGGGGGTCCTCCCTCCGGGGGGGAGCACTCCTCCCCGCGGGGGAGCACTCCTCCCCTCCGGGGGAGCACTCCTCCCTGGGAGAAGCTTCCCCCCTCGATCCCTTGCCCGCCAAACGCCTCGGGCTCCCCCACTCGGGGTCGGCGGCACCAGCCGTAAGGCCTTCACAATCAGTCGAGTCGGCAGAAGTCGGCAGGCAGATTGGAAGGCATCGAAATCAACACCCAGCCGAGGCCTACTCAAGGAAACCCAAACCCCAAACCGAAGTCGGCATCTGGAGTCCAATCGAATCGGCATCCTCGAACCGATGAGAACCGATGGAGTCGACTCGGCTCCTGGCTGGGCCCTCGCGGGCCAAGCGCTGCCGAGCGGGGGGCAGCCTCCCATGCCACCCTGATGGCTCTTGCGAATCGCCGCTGGCCGACGCTGGCTGACGAAGCTCGAAGCTCCTCGGCGCCGAGCTTAGGTCGGGCGTGTTCCACTACAGGCAGATTTTGACGAACTATTTCAAAAGTATGCCAAGAATATTCAAACATAGCGAAAAATAGTTCATTCAAATCGTCCCCGAACTATTTTTTGACTGCTTTTGAATACTCCCCCTGTAGGAGAACAGGCCCGCCTTAACGCCGAACCGACATCGAAATCCCCGAGATCGAAGCGCGCGCGCGCGCCCGCGCGGTGAAAGATCGTGCGGTGACCTCGAAATCCCCCAAGACCTCACCTCACGGTCCGTCACCGCACGGTCTTGGGACCCCAGAGGCCCCTGTCGCCCGAGACATCCTCGGAGAACGGCCCGAGTCCCAAAACCGTGCGGTGACCCCGAATCCCCACCGCACGGTGTGGTCACCACCCCGTTTGGGGGCCCCCGAAAATCGGGGCGGCCGAGAGAGGGGGCGTCCAAGAGGTGGGGGCGCAAATCATGGCCGGCGGCATGAGCGCGGCCCAGCGGGGGGGGCCGGGGACGTAGTGAAACAAGAAGAGGCGCCATGAGATCTGGGGAAATATCATGGCCCACGCCATGATATCCACCCCCCTAGTCTTGAGCAGGGACAGACCGTCCCGGCATTCCTATAGTCCTACCACGAAATGTTCTTAGAACCCAGAAATGTTTTAAGAACAAAAACAATGTTCTTAGAACATAAGCCCGATGTGATAAAACAAGACAGACTCCGCCAGAAATGTTCTAAGACAATTTCGTGGAAACCACACAAGGCTCTTAGAACATTGTTCGGTAGGATAAACGAGCCAGGACCCTGCTACTGCTACTGCTTGTTCTTAAAGGCGACCCAAAAGAGGGTCCAGCTGCAAGGGGGTGGTGCAATAGATTCGGGGCACTTACATTGCAAACTTACTGCGCCGGAGAATTGTATTGCATTGTATTGCAACTAATGTATTGCACGCGAAAATCCAGCAATACATTTGCGCCCCAGAATGTAATTCACGCCCCAAATGTACTGCAACCCCACAAATCTATTGCACCAAATCTATTGCACCACCCCCTTGTCGCTGGACCCCCTTTTAGGTCAACCCGACTGAGGACATTGCTCGCCACTGCTTGATAGTCATCACCCCCTCTCTCGGGTCGGGCGAAAGGAGGGGATAGCAAAGGGGTGGGTTGAGAATCAGCTCACGGAGCTGATTTTCCCGGCGCCTCCCGGCGCCGGAGGCGACGATGTATCGAGGAATGGGCCCCTCGGTGGGGCCGAAACCAGCTGCACGCAGCAGATTTCGTCACCCCCCTTTCGTCCGGCCCCCCTCTCTGCCGCCCCCGAGAAAATCGGAGCGCGCGCGCCCCCCGGGCCCCGGCCGGCCAGGCGCTGCCGAGCGGGGCGCGGCCGCCGCCCTCGGGGCTCCGGCGGCCTCGGCGGAGCGGCGGGGCGGCGGGGCGGCGGGGCTCGTCGGACGCCCCGCTCTCGCGGGGAGGAGCGGCACCTGACTTCTCCTCCTCCTCCTCCTCCTCCTCCTCCTCCTCCTCCTGCTCCTGCTCCTGCTCCTCCTCCTCTTCCTCCTGCTCGTGCTCCTGCTCCTCCTCTTCCTCCTCCTGCTCCTGCTCCTGCTCCTGCTCCTGCTCCTGCTCCTCCTCCTCCTGCTCCTCCTCCTCCTCCTCCTCCTCCTCCTCCTCCTCTTCCTCCTCCTCCTCCTCCCCCAGCGGCGGGGGGCGCGAGCCTCGCCCCCGCCCCCCCAAGCTCGCTATGGCTATGGCGTCTCTCGCTGTGGCTCTTGTTCGCCCTTGCTGCAAAACGATGGCATCGCGCAAGCGGCCCACGGAATCGCCAAGACCCCGTTTGGCTCGCGCCCGGTTCCACACACATGGGGCCCCTCCTCTGGACAGGTGCCGCGCGGTACTTCCCTGCGGCTCTCCAGTCCCCCTCCTCTCTCTCCCTCCTCCACTTCTCCACCCTCCCCTTCCCCCTGCTTACCCATATTTCCCTCGTCCCTTCTGCTCCATCCCTGTTCCTCCTGTTCCTGCACCGGCTGTTGGTGGTGCTGCTCATCCCCCCCCTCATCCTCATCATCCAACCCTCCTCCTCCCAAATTCTTCCTCCTCCTTCCCTCCTGCTTCCCCTCATGCCCACCTTCCTCTTCCTCCCACTCATCATAATCCTCCCCTCCCCTGCTCCCTCCCCCACCTCCCGTCCCTTCCCCATCCTACCCTTTACCCCTCCTCCTCCCCCTCCTTCCCCAGAGGAGGCGAGGCCACCCGACCAGTGGAGTTGGGTTGGCAAGCTCTGGCACTGCGTGACAGGGGGTCGCGCAGGGCAGCTTTGCCTCCCCGAGGAGAGCCTGCGCACGTCTCATCTGCGTCGGCCCAGCCAAGCTGCGAGAGCTGCAACATCGCCGCCTGGTCGTGAAGTTCTCCGGCAACGGTCTTGTACGCGTGTGCGTGTGTGTGTGTGAGTGTGAGTGTGAGTGTGAGTGTGAGTGTGAGTGTGAGAGTGAGAGTGAGTGTGAGTGTGAGTGTGAGTGTGAGTGTGAGTGTGTGTGTGTGCGTGTGCGGGCTCCGTCGCTCATACACGTCAAGGGGAACCATCTCAGGAATCTTGCCAAAGCCGTGCGCCTCCGACTCCCCTGGAAGAAGGGAAACCAAGCCAACGTTGTTTCAAAGGACTCTGTCCGAAGAGGTCTGGGGTCACAGAAGATCTTGACTCGGCATGGCCCTTTAAGGGGGTTTGTGGTTGTGGACGTAACAAAACATCCCCTCGCCCGCCTCATCGTTGTTCCTCCTCCTGCTCCAGCTCCCACTTTCTCTTACTCCATCCTCTTACTCGTCCTCCTCCTCCTCCTCCTCATTATCCGCCTCATTATCCTCCTCCTCCTCCTCCGCCTCCTCCTCCTTCTCCTCCTCACCCCTCCCCTCCTAACCCTTTTTTCCCCACCCCCACTCTTCCCTCATCCTCCCCCTCTCATCAATCACCTCCACCCGCCTGTCGTCCGTCCAAGCCTGCGTCACGCGCACGTGTAAGATAATGGCCGCGCCGCTGCCGATGCTGCTAAGAGGCAACTCCTCGTCGAAGCCCTGGGCACGGAAAGAAAACAACACTGAACGCAGTAAGTGGTTTCGAGGACGACGAAGGAGGAGATGGGGAGGGTGAAGAACGAGGAGGATGAGGGTGGGCTGGGAATAGGACGAGCAGCGACCGTCATCGGGCTGAAGACGAAGAGCCAGGGTAAGACTGGAGCGAGGAGAAGAGAGGAGGAAGAGGCAGATGAGAGGGGCAAGGAGGGCCCAAGAGCAGGGAGGACAGGGGGGGAAGATCCCTCCTTGCTCCTCGGCTCGTCCTGCTTCATGATTCATACCCCCGGCCCTCTCCCCCACTCACCCATTCCCCAATTCAAACCTCACTCTCCCTCGCCCCAACACGATGATACGGTCGGTGTCGCAAAGATGGCGTGCAACACCGATCTCCAAAAAAAAACACGCGGTCCTTCCACACTCGTGTGAGGCGATCACTCTGCGAGGGGTCCCTCCGTGCACGCCGTCGCCCTGCCAGGGCTTCTACCTTTCCCCGAGGGTGGGGGGATAGCGTGCAGTATTGAAAGGGGCCCTGGGACACACACATACATAGCAGGATTCTCGTAGTTGAAAGGGGCCCTGAGACCATAGACACACATAACAGGATTCTCCACAATTTCCCATATGTTTTAGATGTTCGTCTTCCCCCGCACTTCCCACATTTGTCGCATATGTTCCTGGGAATCGACGATTCATTGTGCCTGCGTGTTTTTGTCCCCCCCCCCTGAGTGCAATAAGCAGGCCGGCAACGCCACATCGCGCACTATCTTCCCAACGCCACATCGCGCACTATCTTCCCACTGGAAATTGGCACCAACACCAGCACAGGGGGTTGCCTCCACATGGGGACGATGATCCTAGATTTCGGTGTTGGTGGTAATACTTCGGTCACCTTGGGAAACATAATATTACCACCATCACCGAGATCGGGATCGTCTTCCCTCGGTGGAGGCACACCGCCGATATTGGTGTTGGTGTCAACCTCTAGGCCTGCGACAACCGGAAGTGCTGACGCAAGAGCTGCCTCATGAAAGAACCGCTTGGCTGGCAGCACGGCTGCGCCCAAGAAGTCGTCGCCCCTCATCTGGTCCGTGTCGTATACGCAGAACGTGAGGTCCTCCTGGCCAGTGCAGTCGGCCACCTGCGATGCTGCACTCGCTCGGACTGGCCCAGCGCTCCGACGTCCAACAGGCACCCTCGCTTTGAAGGCGCCTGGGGGGTCTGAAGTGGTTGGGGCCCCACAAAATCGGCCAGGAGGGGGGATGGAGCCAAATTTGTACGATGCCGGGGCCCGAAAATGGTCCCTGGAGGCCGAACAAATCAATAGAAGCGTCCCGAACCCAGAACCTCTCGAACCTGGCTCCCCTCGTTGCTACTGGCTGGAACCAATGCTGGACCACTTCAGACCCCCAGCCGGCTTCAATGCGCTCCGACGCCCCACAGCCGCCCTCGTTCCGTCGCCACGCTTGTCGGGATAAGGCAGAACGGAGCACGAAGAGCAGGCGCACCAGGATGACCAGAAGAAGGCGAAGCAGCAGCAGCAGGAGGAGCAGCAGAAGAGCAGGAGCAGGAGCAGAAGCAGGGCGAGGAGCAGCAGGAGGCAGGAGGCGGGAGAAAATGGAGAGGGCAGAGGGAGGGAGGAAGGGAGGGAGCGAAGGGGATGCGACTGCTGCTGCTGCTGCTGCGCTGCTGCTGCTGCTGCTGGGAGGGAGGGAGGGAGGGAGGGAGGGAGGGAGGGGAGAGGGCAGAGGGCAGAGGGAAGGAGAGGAGGTAGGGAGCGGAGGAGGAGGAGAGGAGAAAGGGGGGAGGGGGAACGGAACGGAACGGAAGTCTGCGCGCCAGCTCCGGTACCGGAGCGGTCCCCTAAAGGGCAGACCGTGCGCTGAGCACGTCGGAAAATGAATGTCGGCAACGAGCACACGCAGGAAAATACGATTAATAATTCCTCTGGTGTGCAGGTTTTCAGTCAGAGAACCTTCGCTGGCTACGAAGAGCGAGGAGGAGGAGGAGGAGGAGGAGGAGGAGGAGGAGGAGGAGGAGGAGGAGGAGGAGGAGGAGGAGGAGGAGAGGGGGCAGCTAGCAGCGCGCCGCGGGCACGTCTACATTCAGTGTATCAGAGAAATCACAGTCTTATCATGTACGGAACGCGTCACCCCATCTCAAGGGGGGAGGGGGATGGGAGGCGAAGGGGGGGAAGGGGAGGGGAAGGGGAGGGGGGCTCCAGAGCACTGGAACCCATCTTCGTGCGGGGGAGCCTCTGCACCTCGTCGACTTGCGAGGGCTAGAAGCCTGTTCAACAAGGGAGAGGGAGGAGGTGGAGGAGGAGGAGGAGGAGGAGGAGGAGGAGAGGAGGGGGACAGGGGACGACTTGAGTAGGGCTGGGGTCAGGTCTGCAAAGCACCCCAAACGGACGTAAAGGGGCGCAACCAACCTGTTCGGTCAAGCCGACATTGATGCGCTACTGCCGGCGTCAAACCAAATTCGGACGTCAACGAATGTTGGAAATTGTACATCTCCGTCGGCTTAACCGGCGAGGCCTTTGACCGCCTTGGCCCTTCGCGTCCATGTTCGGTGGTCCTGCAGAGGAAGGCGCTCACTGACCCTCGGCCCTACTCAAGGGACGACGGGGGAGGGCAGGATGGTGAAGGAGAGGAGGGAGGGGCAAGAGGGAGAAGCCCGTTCACAACGCGGGAGGCCGGGCAGCCACCTGCATCGTGAAGTCCCACCTCGGGCCGTCGTCCTTCGCGACTGTCGGCGTCTTGAATTTGTTGGGGCGACCCGCAACCTGACGCCGCGGAGTTGCCAGGGGAGGTCGTGCGCCACACCAGCGAGGACAGCGGAAAGAACCTGCCCCATATCCCCCCGCTCTCCATCTCCTCCTCAATCCTACCCGTCCACCTTTCCCCCACTTGGGCATTTGGTCCTCGTTCCCATCGCGGCTCAACTCATCTTCAATTGGATCATGAATGAAAACACCAGGACACGTGAGCGACGAAGTTTGCAGGATAGCGAAGGGGTGAAACCGAGGGGGATGATGGAAGCAGAAAGGCAAGCGGACTGTGAATGCGGATGTAGACTTAAGTCGGGCGTGTCCCCCTACAGGGGGATTTTCGACGAAAAATTAAACATACCCCCCCCCAAAAAAAATACCCCAAAATGGTCAAAAAATATTCAAAAAATGGTCACCGGACAATTTTTTGACTATTTTTGGGCATTCCCCCTATAGAGGGACACGCTCGACTGAAATGTAGACAGTGCCTCGAACTGGACTCACTGCTGGAACGCTGGAAGAGTCCAGTGAGGAGCGGCTCGGGAGGGATTCCGGAGAGAATCGGAAGGTATGTGCAAATTTGGGTGCAACATGCCGCGGTGGAGTCGCGCCTTGCCTTGCACACGCTGCGCAGCTGATGTGAAGGGGCCCTGGGACACACAAATAAATAGACACACATAACAGGAATCCCCACATATTCCTATAGTTTCAGGGTTTTTGTCTTTCCCCCCACTTCCCATATTTTCCCATATCTTCCTGGGAGTCGACGATTAATTGTGTCTGCGTGTTTATTTCCCTCCTGATGATGGTGGGACACGGCGCAAGCAGAGCACCGAGAAGTAGTAAGATGCTGAACAACACAATGGATCGAACAATGTCCATAGGTACGACCGTCGTTGCAGAGCCTCGCCATGGGGCAACTCCTCCCGATGGGACATACGCATATGAGACTGAAACTGGGTCTGATGAACATGATGTGTACATGGATGGCATCATGCCTTCGAGAGGGTGCTATGACGCCGCGTTGCGGAGGCTGGCTCCGCACAACAAAGACTTCTGCACGATGCTGGGAGATATACGAGGATGGGTGTTGCCGTGTCGCATCCCTTAAGAGGACCGTACCCGCGGTGTGAAGAGATCGACAGCGGTGCTGGCGGTCAGCGTGTCCGTCCTTGGGCCCGTGGTGTGGTGACTGCGTCGCTGGCAGACTGGCGTCTTCCCTGTCGCTCGTTCCCGTGCTCGCCCTTCCCTCCCGGGCTCACTGGCGGAGGAGGAGGAGGAGGAGGAGGAGGAGGAGGAGGAGGAGGAGCAGGGCCAGGGTCTCCTGGGCTCACTGGCGCCACGGTGGGGCTCCGTCCCAAAGCAGAGCGCGGCGCGCGGCCGAAGACGGCCCGTGCCCGGTGCGGGCGCGTTCTCCCGGGGGCGCCGTCGGGGCTCCCTCCAGGGGTGGCGCGGAGGTGAAGGCCGGGGCCCAAGGGTATACAGTCGGGGCGTTGACCCAAGGAACCCAAAATAAGGAGCCAGGCCCCTTTTTTCCATGAGTTAACCTTCGATTTCCGATCGAAGACATAAGGAAAACCTGGGGCGAGCTGCGAAACACTCAAGGAACGCGGAGCCCCTCCCCAACGAAAAGGGTTCCTTCTTCAGGGCCCCGACTCTATACACCACCACCACCTCCCTCATCCCCTGCCTCTCCCAGGAGAGAGGAGAGGAAAGATGAGGGTGGAGGAGGGAGGAGGAAGCGTCGTGGTGGTGGTATATATGTTGGGGGCCCGCAGCGTGTCGATTCCCTCTTCTGGGGCGCAACTGGGGCCCCCTGAGTGGCTTTGCATCCCTGTTGTGGCGTTCCGTCGGAATGGTATCCTCGCGAAGTGTGACCCAGCATGGCCCTGCCCAACTTCATTGCAGGCATCCCCTCACTGGGGCCGTGCTGATGTTCCCGCGTCGGTGTGAGCCCTCGTAGCAGGAGGCCAAAGACAACGTCAAGCCCAGGGATGCAGCCCCCAACACGCGGGCCCCTCTCGGGCCTCTGTGGGTGGGAACATTCCTTAACGGTTGGCTCAAGGCGGCCCGCCCAAGCATGAGGCCGACACATCGCAAAGGGGTGGCGATGGTGATGATGACGGCTAAGATGCGATCGCACCACTTCTCGCGCCACCTCGACTAGAGCCAATGGCAGACCATGGCTCAGTGGGCCATTGATACGCTCCCCAACGCTAGGCCGAGCAGAACCCCACCAAAACCCGAGCATACGCAAGAGACCAGAACATGCGGAAGAGCCCCACTGACCCCTGCACCTGGCGGGGAGAAGCGAGGGGCATGACACAACCCTGAAAACCGCCAGATTCCATGGAAAGGGAGCCGTGCCCACGAACCAGTTGCCATCGGCTGATGGTGCAGCAAAGGCAGCAAACAGGGTTCTTCGCTTGCTGATGGGATATTATGGGAAGGCGGAAAGGCCCCGCGCAGGAAAGGCCACAACACAAGCAAGACAGCAAGACAACATTAAACTATCATCTCCCAACACACAATGGAGGAGGATTAAATGTTTTCCTCGTCCTCTACCCCCACAGCAATTGACTTCTCTGCATCTTCCCCCCTCTTCCTCCTCAGCCTCCTCCGCCTCCTCCCCCTCCCTCCCTCCCTCCTTCCTTCTCAGTCCGAGCGGGCCGGGTTGGGCTGAGGTGGGCTGGGGTGGGCTTGAGTGCACCCCTCTCCTCCTCGCCCCCTCCCTCCCAGTCCTTGCAACAGGTTGCCGTGGTGGCGCGAAGCTCACCGCGCCCGCCGTCCGTTGCTCGCGGGGCGGGCCATATCTGCAGGACCAGGCTGGATGTGGGAGGGCTGGATCGAGCTGAAGTGACCGCTCACCTGCTGCCGGCCTCCTCTCTCCCTTCTAGCCCTTGGGAAGGCAGGTTGACACTACGATCGAGGGTCGGGCGGGGGCATCCTTGTCACCCCAGCTGGCCGTTTGCCCTGTTTCTGGTGCGCTCGGGCCCGCGGTGGGGGTCCTGGGGCCCTTCTCGGGCTGCTGTTGTCTCAACTTCCCCTGATCGGACAGGTCTGGGCTTGGGCGTGGGCTGGGTTGGGCGACAGGTCCCAATCCTGAATTTTTCACTGTCTCCCAAAATCCCCCTCGGAGGTGAATCCCCCCTCCTCCCTCAGCGCGCCGGTGCCCCCGGTGTGCGGCTGGGCCGAGGTTGGCTTGGCCCCTATTCGAGTGGATGGCTTGGTATCGGTTTGGGTAGCCCCGCTCCCTCCGCAGCACGGGGTTCCAGAAGCTAGCGCCGCAGACCGCATCGAACCCCTTGACTCAGCTAGGCAGCTGGACATCGCGCTGGCTGTGGACAGGGCGGAGGCTAGGTTCTGGTCGAGGATGGTCGTCGCGTAGCCCCTTCCCTCCTTCTAGGGTTCACTATCCATCTCTTTTCCTATGTATGTTTATCTGGTCTTCCGAGGCCTCCCTCTTTCAGCGGCCAGACCCAAAGGTTTGATCTGTGTGCTTGCTGGTGCCCAGAGCTCTGGGTAAAGAGAGGCAGTGACAGGCGCCTGCACAACTGCAGGCAACATAAACACGAAACACAACACCGCAAAATCGGAAATTCCGAAACTGACCTCTGGCGCATCGTTTCACCGAGGGGCCACTTTAGACATCGCGCTTCGCATCACACGGTTACGAAGAGCATTCAGAAAGGCGCGAGATATGATGGCACACAGCTGCTGTGGATATGGCTCAGCGATGGCAATGAGAAGTATGACAGCGCTGTCCTTCCCGGCCAACTCTGTATGCGGACGAGTGGTAGAAGAACAGATGCCTCTGCCAACACACTTGCACTGATTCAAACACCACAGGTCAGCATTAGCAAAGAGGATAGCAGTACGTTTGGGCCACAGAGTACCGAAGGAACAAACATCTACCGTTAGGCGCTGAACCCCAAGGCGCCGCCCGACACTGATGGCCACAGGCCGCTTCCAAAGCCGAGAGGAACTGGGGATCTCGAGGCCAACGGGGAGCCCCAGGGACAGCGCCAGCTCAAAAAGACTTGAGCTGAACATACACAGACGATTTCCTTGCATGACTTTCAGGGCATCCGCGGGGCTCAAACTAGGGAGGCCCTCAAGAAACGAGCTATCTCTCAGGAGCGGAGGTCCATTGGGTCGGTTACGCGCGAGCGACATCGATTGACACGGCGTTCCGATCCATAACGCACGCACTAAACCTGAGCGAAGCCATTCACGAAACAACTGCCGAAGTCTCTGCTGGGGCCAGTCCGCGCGTCTTGCCCGCTGTCAATCTCAAAGGCGGCGAGCGAAGCTCGGGTCACGCGCCTCCAGCTGAGAGACAATCGGCCAGAGCCCGAGAAAACCTGGCCAGATGAGCGAACGGCGCCTGCAAAAACAGACGCCTAGGTTGGCGGCGCGGCGCTGCCTCGAGAGAGGCAGCGGCCGCATCTGCACTGCGATCTGGCCGCCCTTGGCGCAGCGCCTGCCGAGCACGGGCGCCCTCCGGCCGTAGCTCAACAGCGCCAGGCGGCCTCGCGGAGCGGCGCGGGCCTGCAGCGTCAGCCGCAGCGGCGGCAGTCGGGCGCGCAGCAGGCCGGCCACCAGGAGGCCCTCGTCGTAGACTCTCGTCTTGGAGGGCGGGGGGCGCATCATCGGGTGCAGCGCCGGCGACCAGTGCGAGAGGAAGGCCTGCCTGGGCGGCGCGACCTCCGCCAGCGGGATCGCCTGGTCGCGCAGGAGCCCGAGCAGCTCCGCGGGCCGCAAGTGTCGCGCGAAGCGCACCGCCGTCGTCGCGGCCGCCACCAGCCCACCCGAGCTCAGCATCCGGTCGAACTCCAGGCCGGCGATCGGCCAGGGAAGCGCGCGCCTCGAGCGAAGGCGCAGCCGCGCCCAGCCCTTGACAGTCGGCACCGCGCGCGGCCTGGCCAGCTGCAGCCGTCCCAACGTCGCCCCGACGTGCACGATGGCGGCCATGATCGGGGTCGCCCACGCACTCGGATGGCACTCCAAGATCA